CTACTGAACAAGCCAGTACCTGCCATATACCAGTACTGCCATCTGTTGAGGAGTTACGAAGGTGGAGGCATTCCTTTTCATTCAACCCTCGTAGATGCCAATTATTATTTAACAGTAATAAAAGTTAATAGTTATTTTTAATGTCTCCCCTGCATTTTCTTTATGAACTGATGTGATATGGGCATTTCAACAAGAATCTGGTATTGCATCTCTCCTTTTTCTAATCACGCAAAATTTTTAATAGTCAAAAATAGCTCATCTTCAAATTTCTCATAATACACTGCAGGTAGTCCATCACATATTTATCACCTGGAGGTGGAAAACCAGCACAGTAGTAGTACCATTACCATAAGTGAGAGTCATTTTTGCACAATGTTCTGTGATAATTGAATAAATAAACTGTTGTTGTCTGCCACCCACTGTGCAATCAAGTTCATATATTTCTAACTGCTGCACTAGCTTCCACACTTCCATGGAATGCTCAGTTCCACGAGCACCTTCAAATCTTGCCTTTATTCCAAATGTAATCTGTCTACATTGCATTAATTCATAAAGAAAACTGGGAGTTCATTAGTTTTTTTAATATCTAAAATGTTCTCATTGTCCTTCACACATAAATCTCTGATTTTCCTCAAAGGTTTTTAATATTTTCAAAATTATCCCTTCCAAATTGGCTGATCTTTGTAACATTTTTCTTTATCATTCCTGTCTCAATTTATAGGAAGACCACTTTCCAGGTTTACCTGCAATTTCAAAGTTCTTTTCCTTAAGGTAAACTAGTTTGGTATTAATTTCTGGAATTGTAAACAAGGAGAACAATTGTTGGGGTAACTTGATCTTTTCTTGTGTCTGTTTATCAGATTCTTTCTTCTCTAAACTCTGTATTGTCCCTTTTATTTTCTCTTTCTTTTTCCAGTCTAACAGGGAGAACAGTGAATACTACACTTAGATAGGAAAAACATGAAATGTGCAGATATAGAATGGGTAACAGCTGGCTTGACAACAGTACATGTGAAAGAGATCTTAGTAGACCAGTAGTAGAGCACAAATCAACAATATGATGCAGCAGCTTAAAAAATCCAATGTGATTTTAGGTTGCATCAGTAGTATAGTGTCAAGGCTGAGGGAAATTATAGTCCAACTCTATTCTGCTTTGGTCAGACCACATCTGAAATACCGTGTCCAGTTCTGGGCACCACAATTCCAGAGGGATATTGAGAACCTGGAACATGTCCAGAGGAGAGTGACCAAAATGATACATGATAGCCATGTTTAAATATTTAAAAGGCTATCACATTATAGAAGGGACAAGTTTGTTCTCTGATGAGAGTAGGACACAGAGCAATGGATTCAAATTCAAGAAAAAAGATATTCCACCTAAAGATTAGGAAGAGCTGTTCATTAGTGTAATATGCAGCCTTGGAGCTAGGTGGAGTCTCCTTCTCCTACAGGATGGGTGACACCTGTCTTGACAATGGTTACATGTGAAAAAGATATTAGAGTCTTAGGACATTATCAGGCACAATCTTCTCTGCATCCTGTCTCCGTTTCTCTACGTTGCCGAAACAAAGTCCCACGGAGCCCATCACATGATGCAGGGCAAATTTCTGCAGAACTCTGTGGGGCTCTGTTTTGGCAACATAGTAATATTGACAAGGTGGAATATGTTCAGAGGAGGGCAACCAAAATGATCAAAGATTTGGAAGCCAGTCCCTATGAGGAATGGCCCAGGAAACTGGTTATGTTTAGCTTAGAGAGAGAAAAAACTAAGAGGACACACATGAGCCATGTTTAAATATCTCACATGATGTCACATTTAAAAGGGGGCAGGGCTGTTTTCTGCTGCTCTGAAGACTATGACACAGAGCAATAAATTCAAATTACTGGGGCTGGGGGAGGGAGGAAATTTCACCAAAACATTAGGAAGGACTTCTTGACTGTAAGAGCTGTTTGGCACTGCTGCCTTGGGAGTGCAGTGGAGTCTACTTGCCTTGAGTTTTTAAAGCAGAGGTTGGATATCCATGTGTTTATTTATTTATTATGACATTTATATGCCTCCCTTCTCACACCGAAGGGAACTCATAGCAGCTTCCAAGATATATATACATACAATATATTATATTATTAGCATAGTACAATATCAGTATTATATATTACTATATTTTACTATACCATTATATTGTAATATTAGTAATATTACATGTAATATAAATATATAATTATATCATATTATTTTAGTAGTATATCGCATTACATTATAATATTATAAATATTATATTACATTACATTATTAGAATAGCACAGGAGACAAGGTGGAACTGTCTTCTGCCTCCCTCTCTCTTCACTCTGGCCCAGAGCAGAGTTGGTGCTGTCCCCAACTGATGACATATGTGTTGTGAGTGTTTGACTGCATGGCTGAATGAGATAGACCGTCTGTTAGGAAGTGAAGTCCAAAATGCCTGGAGGGCTGATGTTTGCCCATGCCTGGGATAGATCTTGGATCTCTACCAGCTGTATGATTCTATGATCGCTGTACCTGGTGCTTTAAAATTAAAAATACTGTAATGGTCCCCTGACCTGACATTTACACTCTAAGACAGGACACAAAAGGAAAGGTGGGTGCCAGTGTGGGAAGAGACAAAGGGCTCTTCTACACTGCCAGATAAAACAGGTTATCAAAGAAGAAAGTCCACATTATTTTTGTATTTGCCAACATTTATATCTTGCCCATCTCACCCTGAAAGGGGACTCAGGGCAGCTCAAAACATTTTCTGATTTGAACTGGATTATTTTAGGTCCTTTCCACACAGCTGAATAAAATCCCACATTATCTGCTTTGAATTAAAATATATGGCAGTGTGGACTCAGATAACCCAGTAGAAAGCAGATATTGTTGTATTGTCTCTATGATGCACTTTCCCTGTCCTAAACTAAAAGCCTACCTCACTGCTTATCCTTTTTGGGCTCCCCTCAATTACGTATTTTGTATTCCTACCTCATCCAGGGTTTTATCATTTTACCTCGTTCATTCAGCCTGCCCATTCTGAACGATTTTATATTGTGTCAATTTGCTTTATTTTATTTCGTTATTGTATGTATTTTATTTTGATGTAATTTCTGTTGTCTGCAGTCTGTATTTTGTTTTGCTTGTATCTTTGGGCTTGGCCTCATGTTAGCCGCCCTGAGTCCCCCTGGGGAGATGGTGGCGGGGTATAAATAAAGTTTATTATTATTATTATATTGTGAGATTTTCTGCCTCGATATTCTGGGTTATATGGCTGTTTAGATGGGCCCTCAGTCTACACTGCCATATCATCCAGTTCAAAGCAGATAATATGATGTCCAATTCTGGGCACTACAATTCAAGAGAGATATTGACAAGCTGGAATGTGTCCAGAGGAGGGCGACTGAAATGATCAAGGGTCTGGAGAAAAAGCCCTATGAGGAGCGGCTTAAGGAGCTGGGCATGTTTAGCCTGAAGAAGAGAAGGCTGAGAGGAGATATGATAGCCATGTATAAATATGTGAGAGGAAGCCACAGGAAGGAGGGAGCAAACTTGTTTTCTGCTTCCTTGGAGACTAGGACACGGAACAATGGCTTCAAACTACAAGAAGATTCCTGAACATGAGGAAGAACTTCCTGACTGTGAGAGCCATTCAGCAGTGGAACTCTCTGCCCTGGAGTGTGGTGGAGGCTCCTTCTTTGGAAACTTTTAAACAGAGGCTGGATGGCCATCTGTCAGGGGTGATTTGAATGCAATACTCCTGCTTCTTGGCAGGGGGTTGGACTGGATGGCCCATGAGGTCTCTTCCAACTCTTTGATTCTATGTGGATTTTATACAGCTGTGTAGAAGGGGCCTTCCACACAGCCCTATATCCCAGAATATCAAGGCAGAAAATCCCACACTATTTGAGTGTGGACTCAGATAACCCAGTTCAAATCAGATAACGTGGGATTTTCTGCCTTGATGTTCTGTGATACAGGGCAGTATGAAAGGGCCCTGGGTTGTATGGCTACATGAAAGGCCCTTCCACACAGCCTTATATCCCCGAATATCAAGGCAGGAAACCCCACATTATCTGAGTGTGGACTGAGATAACCCAGTTCAAAGCAGATATTGTGGGATTTTCTGCCTTGATATTCTGGGACATAGGGCTGTGTGGAAGGGTACTAAGTCTGCAGATGGTCTCTTCTTCTCTCCCTTGAAGGCCAAAGCAGTGGTCTTTCATTTGCTTTTGGGTTTAGGCTTAAGGGAATTCATCTCCTTCCTCCTTTTCTTCCTGCAGATGTTTGCGCCTCCAACTCCCAGAAGCCCCAGCCAGCTAGCCCCCGGTGGCGCAGTGGGTTAAAGCCCTGTGCCGGCAGGACTGAAGACCGACAGGTCGCAGGTTCGAATCCAGGGAGAGGCGGATGAGCTCCCTCTATCAGCTCCAGCTCCTCATGCGGGGACATGAGAGAAGCCTCCCACAAGGATGATAAAACATCAAATCATCCTGGCGTCCCCTGGGCAACGTCCTTGCAGATGGCCAATTCTCTCACAACAGGAGCTCCTGACACGACCAAAAAAAAAAAAAAGGCAGCTTGTCTAATGGTGAGGAATCTTGGGGGCTGAAGCCGGAAACCCTCGGTGGCGCAGGCCTGAAAAGCCTCGTAGCCGCGCTTCCCAACCTCTGGTCCTCCAGGTGTTTTGGACTTCAGCTCCCAGAAGCCTCTGCTGCCTTAGCCAGGGGCGAGAGCACCCTGGGAGCGGAGGTCCGAAGTTTGAAGCCAGAGCTCGGGCCCACTTCCGGCCACGCGGGGCCCGCCTGCGGCCACCCAAGTCCACACCCTTCGCGCGCCCCGCTCTTTCCCTTCCGGCCGCGCGCTCGGCCTCTCGAAGACTCCTTTCTGGCCGCCGACGGAAGGCAACCCCGCGCTCACCGCCGGCGCCCCGGAAGCGTTAACACCGACTCCGCCTCTTGCCCTCGGAAGCGAAATCCCGCTCCCTTTTCCGGTGAGAAGGAGGCGGAGGCGGCTGCCGTTGCCGCCACTCGGGCCAGAGCCGGGGGGCCGGGCGGGGCCGGGTCATGGGCAGCGGGCGGGAGACCATGAGCGGCTTCCCTCGGCAAGGAGCGCTTCCGGGGTTAAGTCACCCGGAAGCGGAAGAGAAGGGCTGCTTGCTGTCCGCCTGGCTGTCCGGGGGAGCGGCGGTGGCGGTCGCGGCGGGCGGCGGAAGCGGCGGCGGAAGTGGCGGCGGCGGGGCTTCCGGGGCGGCCCCCTCTCACCTGGACTCCACGTCGGCGCGGCCGCTCTTCCCGGCCTCGGCCCGGGCCGGAAGGAGAGCCAGGGGCCGCGGGAGGGGTCAGTGCGGCCGGGGAGCGGGAGAGGGAGGCCAGGGGAGGCGGGCGGGCCGGCAGGAGGGCGGGGGTCAGGCCTCGGGCTCCCTCTCTCCCCCCGGAAGAAGGCCCTCGGGCACCTTCGGGTTCAGGGAGAGGGGGGGCAGCCCTTCCTCGCAGGGCTTCGTGGCTGCAAGGGGGGACCAGGCAGCAGGAGTCAGCCCAAGTCCTCCCGGCAGGTAGCCATCCAGTCCAACCCCATCCTGCCTGGCAGCAAGAGTCAAAACCCTCCTGAGAAATGGCCATCCAGCCTCGGCATCATAGAACCCTAGAGTTCAAAGTGACACCCGAGGGCCACCCAGTGCAATCTCCTTCTGTCAAGCAGCAATAATCCTTCAAAGCCCTTCTGACAGCCATCCAGCCTCTGGATCATAGAATCCTAGGGTTGAAAGGACTCCCAAGGGCCATCCAGTCTAACTCCATTTCTGCCATGCAACTGTTGGTCAAATCCCTTCTAAGAGATAGCCATCCAGCCTCTGAATTATGGGACCCTAGAATTGGAAGGGACTTCGAAGGGCCATCCAATTCCTCCCCATTCTGCCAGGCAGCAATAGTCAGTCAAAACCCTCCCAAGCGATTGCCAACCAGCCTCTCAGTCATAGAACCCTAGAGTTGGAAGGGGCTCCCAAGGGCCATCCAGTCTAGCGCCATTTCCACAATGCAGTAATTGTCAGTCAAATCCCTTCTAAGAGATGGCCATCCAGCCTCTTAATTATGGGACCCTAGAATTGCTAGGGACTCCCAAGGGCCATCCAATCCCTCCCCATTCTGTCAGGCAGCAACAGTAAATCAAAACCCTCCCAAGAGATGGCCAACCAGCCTCTCAATCATAGAACCCTAGAGTTGGAAGGGACTCCCAAGCGCTATCCAGTCTAGCGCCATTTCCGCCATGCAGTAATTGTCCATCAAAACCCTTCTAAGAGATGGCCATCCAGCCTCTGAATCATGGGACCCTAGAGTTGGAACGGACTCCCAAGGGCCATCCAGTCTAACTCCATTCTGCCAGGTAGCAATAGTCAAGGCCCTCCCAGCAGATAGCCATCTAGCCTCTGCCTCATAAAACCCTAGAGTTGGAAGGGACTCTCAAGGGCCATCTGATCTAGCCCATTCTGCCAGATAGCAATAGTCAAGGCCTTCCCGGAAGATAGTCATTAGCCTCTGCATCATAGGACACTAGATTTGGAAGGTGACTCCCAAGGGCCATCCAGTTCAACCCCATTCTGCCAAGTAGCAATAGTCAAGGCCCTCCTGACAGATAGCCATCCAGCCTCTGCATGATAGAACCCTCAAGTTGGAAGGGACCCCCAAGGGCCATCCAGTCCATCCCCATTCTGCCATGCGGCAAGTCAGTTAAAGCCCCCCCCCCCCAAAGAGATGGCCATCCAGCCTCAGAGTCATAAGGCCCTAGAGTTGGAAGGGACTCCCAAAAGCCATCCAGTCCAACCCCATTCTGCCAGGTAGTAACAGTCAGTCAAAGCCCTCCTCACAATTTGCCATTCAGCCTCTGAATCATAGAGCCTTAGAGTTGGAACAGACTCCAAGGGCTATCAAGTCCAACCCCATTTTGCCAGACAGGAACACACAAACAAAGCACTCCTAACAGGTCGTCTCTTGCCCTGCTGCTTGTGGTCTTTCCAGGAACAAGCAACTGATACAATGGAGATAGTATTCTAGAGGTAGTACGCATACCTCCACTGCTCCATCCAAATTACCAGCTGTCGGGTGCTGCTGAAACCATTATTCCAACTGTCAAATTGATGAGGATTTAGGGAATACCTTCCTGCTGCTGTATTTAAGCTTAAGTGTAAGACTTAAAAATCACCCATTTCCTCCAGTTGAGCAGTGCTCTGTTTTGTATTTTTTAATCATCATTACAGCATTTGTGCTGGAGTCTTCCTATAAAGAAAAGGTCGCCATTGTCTCTTAGATTTTTCATGAGGTCTTGGTTTAAAAACTGTTAGTGGATCACAAAGTTAGTAACTGATTTATATCCGCTAAAAAGGACATGTAATCATTATATCCTTTAGATACTTACAAGATTGCTTCTTTTCAAGGGCTTCTTCCATTAAAGCTGTATCTGAAACATGCCATATTCATTTTGGTCAGTGTAACATGTTAGTGAAGTCAGCAGTGCTCCTTTGTTGTTGTTATTACACATTACCCAGATACCTTGATCAATTTGGAGTTGGGCACTACTAAAATTTCAATAAATAACAATAAAATATACATTACCATCTTTAGTATTGGCTTTTGCTCCATTTCCTTGCCAAGAGTCCAGGAGCATGATGTAAGAGTCCAGGAGCATGATGCATTGAAGAGTCCAAGAAGAGCCAAATTGTACCTGAATGTTTGATCTAGTCCAGCATTCTGTCTCCACAGTAGTCATGCAGCCATCCCTGGAAAGCCCACAAGCAGGAGATGAAGGCAACAGTAGCTTCCCACTCATGTTCCCCAGCACCTGGTACCAAAAGGCATAGTGCCTATCTAGCCATCGTAATCAGTAGCAAGTGATAGCTTTAGCCTCTAGGAATCAAATATTTAAAAAATATTATCCAATTGGTAGCCGTCGCTGCATCATGTGATAGCAGATTCCAGTTTGAAATACTTCATTTTGTCTGACTTTAATATCACTGCTATTCCATCGCAGTAGATGACCATAGGTTCTGAGGGAGGGGAGGAATGTCCATATTCACTTTCTATATACTATTTGTAGTTTTACTTATATTTATCATGTTTGCTTTTACATTTTTTAATAACCTGAACAGCTTGACAGCTGTATTTTTACAAGTTTTCAGTTCTGCAATATTCTTTTTAGTATGGCGATCAGAACAATATACAGTATTACAAGTTTGCTTGTATTTCAGATTTTTATAAAGATAGTATGATATTGACAGCCTTGTCCATTTTATAATTATGCTGTCCATTGCAATTTTTATAACTATCATACACTACCTCAGCATTTTCATCAAGCTTTTCTTGGATCATCACTCCCAGCTCAGGCCCCAGTGTGCAGCTTGGCAGTTAGTAGAAGTAGTAGTAGTAGTAGTAGTAGTAGTAGTAGTAGTAATAATTGATTACATTGAGATATATTTGCTATTTTAATGTCATTTTCAGCTATGTGTAGGTCATTACTAGTCATACCAGTCACTAACTAATTTGGTGTCATTAGTCATGCTATTAACTTCAGATCATAAATGTAGTCCAAAATCACTGATTGCAAGAATGATTGGCCCCATTGTAGCCCTCTACTATTTATATCATTACATCTCAAGAATGAATGAGCCCCCGGTGGCTCAGTGGGTTAAACCCCTGTGCCGGCAGGACTGAAGACCGAAAGGTCACAGGTTCAAATCCGGGGAGAACACGGATGAGCTCTCTCTGTCACCTCTGGCTTCCTGTGAGGGGACATGAGAGAAGCCTCTCACAAAAATGGTAAAACATCAAAACGTCCTGGCGTCCCCTGAGCAACGTCCTTGCAGACAGCCAATTCTTTCACACCAGAAGCAACTTGCAGTTTCTCAAGTCACCCCGGACACAAATAAATGCCAAGAATTATCCCTACTCTCTTCCCTTTCTTTAGTAGTAATTAAAAGGACTGATCCATTTGTTCCTTCTGCTAAACGTTCTTAGAGGTTTATGATAAGGTGCTTTATCAGAAGGATTCTGAATCCCAGTGTCTCCTTATTACACCACTCATTTGTTGTTTGACATTCTCAAATAATGCTCAAGTGAATCAAATCTTTGTCTTCATAATAAGCTGAAATACAAAACCTTCAAAATCCTAAATTAAACTGCCAGGGAATATATTTTAGGGCAAGTGTATTTTGATCCTTCTGTAAGATATTTGGACCAAAGTTCTCTTGCCCCAAAATATTTTCACTGGCAATTTATTTTCAATAACTATATAGGGATTTTAGTTGCTAGGGAGCACTGGAGTTGGGAAGGATAGGCCCAATATTAGGGCAGTCTTTTGCCATATATGGAGACAAGAAAGGACTTTCATGTTCTGTTAATCACAAATGATGCCAAGCCAGATGTTCTGGACTTCAACTCCCACAATTCCTAGCAGCCTGTTGGCTGTGAGGAATTGTGGGAATTGAAGTTCAAAACACATGGAGGGCCAGAGTTTGCCCATGCCTAGTTTAAACCATGTTTGACTCTACCTCATTACATCCCAGTGAACTGAATCAAGTAAAACCCGCTCTTCTTGGACTTTCAGTGTGAAGTCATTAATCAGCTTCAGAATTCAGGGTTCTTCACTAGCTCCCTGTTCTGTTCGAGGGTTTTTTCCCCCCTGCAAACCTGTAATCACAAAAGTTTGGCACCAGTGAAAGTGGAGCAATTTGTTTTGGTTAAATTCATTGCAGGGCCCTTCTACACAGGCCCTAAAATTCAGAAGTGACCCGGTTAAGGGGGTGTGTGCTAAATGACAGTAGCGGTAAATCCGTGCGGATTCACAGTAACAGACAACAAACACATGTTAAAAATGTTCGCCTAAATCCCGATTCTAGCCAGAAAATGCCTGCCTTTGTATCATTGTATGTCCCAGCAGTCATGCGAAACATGTGTTTTTATTCCCTCCCACCCACTGCTCCAGTTCACATGCACTTTTTAAAAGCCTTTAACAGCTGATCAGGCTGTCAAACGGACACACAGGTGGCTCAAGGGAAGCACAAATGAAAAGCAATTAGAACTCTCTGAAACTCTTAATTTTGAATTGTATAATATCAAACATAGCTTGAATTAATAATTAGGGGAAGATAAAGATCTGGTGGAAGTTTTTTATTTAAAAAATTCACTCTGTTGTGTGCTGGACACATGTGCACATGTGAATCTGCTTATGATGATGATGATGATGATGATGATGATGATGATGATGATGATAATAATGGCATTTCTTACCCACTTCTCCTTATGGTTCGAGGTGGGTTACAGAACAATTAAAACACATAAACACTGCAAAACATCACAAATATACATATTAAAATGTACCTCTATAAAACCTACACACCAAAACATATCTCTATAAAATACATATTGAAGTGCACATTATATTAAAATATTTGCATGTGTGCATATATAATCCAGCGCATAATACCGTGATATTTAAAGTAATAATAAAAACTTCCACTGGATGTCCCCTGCCCACCTTCTATCTTGATCTGCTTCAAAAGAAGCTGTGAGAACAGTGGGGAACCATATCCCAGACAGGTCTGTGTGTGGACCTGCTGTCAGGATACAGTATTTTTGTTTTTGATTTGAAATGTGGATTTTGGCACTGTCTGGAATCACCCATGGTTATTTTTTTGCTTGCCATGTTTCAAGGAGACTGAGAGCAACATAGAGATCTCTCTGGCTGTGCTGTGCTTGATTTGCACAAAGCTTTTATATTCCTGTGAAGATCATGACACAGTGCAGAACCCATCCTCCTCTTGAAGATAACATCAGAATCTGGTTGATAATTTGGATTTTTAAAGCTTTATAGCATCAGAAAGTATTAACAGAAACTATTTAGATGAGGTGGGTGGAGTCTAGAGTTACAACTGTTGCAGAAGGGAAGATGCGGTGTTTCAGTATCACAGCTATGCAATTTGACATCAAGCCTTGTCTCTCTTTACCCCTCAGCTAGAATGGAAGAATCCCACTTCAATTCCTCCCCATACTTCTGGCCAGGAGTGCCCACTGTCTCTGGGCAGGTAAGAGATGTCAAGTTTTTAACATGTTTTGTGCAAAGTTTGTGCCATAACTCTTCTAAAACCTCATTCTTCTACTCTTCTCTTCTCATTCTAGATTGACAACAGTATGTTCATTAACAAGATGAAGGAGCAACTATTGCCTTCAGAAAAGGGCTGTGGCCTCGCACCTCCCCACTATCCAACCTTACTGACTGTACCAACTTCTGTGGCCCTTCCTACCAACATTTCCATGGAGTCTGATACCAAGCCAGAACAGCTTACCCCACACAGCCAAGCTTCTGTGACACAGAACATCACTGTGGTGCCTGTGCAATCTGCTGGACTCATGACAACTGGTGAGAAGATTTGGCAGCTGCTATGGTTGGTGCCGTAGATGGGGAGGGATTGGCCTATCTTTGGTGAAGAATCATAAGTAACTCATGTCTGTGATGATAAAGTGAGAGAGGGAAGCATTCAAGCCAAATATGCAGCAGGAATATGCACTACAACATCTATATACCCACTTACTGTCTAAGCAGAAATGTTTTATTTCTCCAAAAGGTTTAGAATGATATGTGTACAAGGACCTGCTTTTTGATCAGATTTGAAACTTGTTCACTAATTTTCTCACTTTTCAATCCCTCAGAAAGGTTAGGCAAACACTGAGCCATTTCCCCCCCGCTAACTAATGACTTAAGTGTGGCTTCAGTCAGCAGCTTTCAACACTTTTCCCTTTTTGGACACCCTATGTGCCAGTGCACACTGCTGAACAGTCCTCCTTTCCTGTATTAGAGCAGGAAGAGCAGTGGGGTGCCAAGAAAGTACTGAACCCTAGCATGGATTCTAAGAAACCTGCCCAGAGACAGTGGGCACTCCTGGCCAGAAGTATGGGGAGGAATCAGATTATACCTCCCTTACTTCATAGATTCAAGAGTGGAAAGGAACCAGGCTTACTGCCATAAACCAGTGTCATACTTGAAGTGGTGGTTGGAAATTTGTATTAATGGTTCTTCTCCATCCCACTCTTATTATTGTTGTTATCATCAGAATAACTTTGTAAACTAGTTAGGCTGAGTGGTTGGCCCAAGATCATCTGGTGGGATTTATGGCTGGGATTGGAACTGTTACTGTGTTATACTTTTATGAGCAGGGTCTTTTGTTAATAAGCCCATTCGCCCATCAATGTATACATAGAATATCTGAACATTTTAAAAAGATCATCAGTATTCTTTCTGGACTGGTATCTGATCTTTCCTTCTTTCACACAACAGGGCCTGGTCTTGTGATCACTTCTCCCTCTGGGTCTCTGATGACTACAGCCTCTTCTGTGCAAACCTTTCCCATCTCAGCACCCATGATCGTCTCAGCGCTTCCCCCTGGTTCCCAGGCAGCTCTTCAAGTAGTACCTGACCTTTCCAAGAAGGGAACTATTGCCCTTTCAGAAGGTGGGATAGTGACTGGTATTGGAGGTATCCCTCCCAAAGCTCCTCGAGGTCGGAAAAAGAAGCGGCTACAGGAATCTGGCCTGCCAGAAATAACCGATCCCTTCGTGTTGCCAAATGATGATGATGAAGACCAGCACAAGGATGGCAAGACATACAGGTGAGGCTACAGGACTTGAAATTTTGTAAAGGCAGCTAAGAATTTCCTTTCTGTTTTATTGGAACCATTGTGGTCGTTATTCTGGTTCAGTAGACGGTATTTGAAATATATAAACTCTTGGCTTGGGCCTTGCATACTATTGTTAATTCTAGAAGGTGGAGTCTAAACATTTGCAACTGTAGCACAATTTTCAGTGAAATTCAAATGAGTGCTGGGAACAGCTTCTTGGGCACCTCATTTTACTTTGTGTATCAATAATTTCCAAACTATGGGATGGAGTCATGCCTCGTGGCAGCACTGAAATGTCTAATATGATAAAAGCTGGTTCCATAATAGTGATTTCTTAGTATTAGAGAGGTCTATATGTTAATGAAGGTGCCTTGACAAGTTACTTTTATTATATTTCTGTGATTTTGTTTAATGTTGTTGTGTTATGTTGCTGTTGAGACTCCTGTAAAACTAGCGAAAATTGTCCAGAACTGTGGTCATATGTGGGGAAGTTTTTATCAGTTTGCTGGAAGTTGGTGCAAATCTAGATTGAGTATCCCTTATCTGAAATTCTTGAATCCAGAAGTGTTTTAGATTTCAGATTTTGGAATATGTGTGTGCACATAATGATATAGCTTGGAGGTGAGTCGCCTGAGGGCTGAGAAGGGCAGTATACAAATACAGTAAATAATAATAATAAATAATAAAGTCTAAACACAAAATTTGTTAATTTTTCTGATATGCCTTATACGCATAGTCTGAGCGTAATTTTATGTACTAGATTTTAATATTTTTTGTGCACAGTTTGTGTGCATTGAACCATAGGAAAGCAAAGGTCTTACCTGATCTAGGATGAACTTAGAACATTTGCTGTTCACCTTCAGTATACAGGGAGTCCCCGAGTTGCAAACATCTGACTTACAAATGACTCATAATTAAGAATGGGGGTAAGACAACACAAAGTGAGAGAAATCTACTCCTAGGAAGGGAAATTAACTCCTGAAAGAGTTGTTGTCATGGGAAAAGGTGTCTCCACTGAAGCTTTCTCACCAATCCTTGTTTCCACATACAACATTTTTTTTTCTAAATCCAATTATCACAGAAAGTGAGGTGAAATCTTCTGAACAGGGGCACGGCAGCAAAAGAAATACCACATGGGTGTTCACTCTTTCCTATGCTATCGAAAGCTTACATATATATGTATTTTTGACTGGAGCTACACTTTAAAAATTACTTGTTCCAACTTACAAACAAATTCAATTTAAGAACAAACGTACAGAACCTATCTTGTTCATAACTTAAGGACAGCATGTATTGTGTAATTAGAATGAAGATACTGTCATTCTTCTTAGGATCATCTCTCTCAAATGACAGGGCTTATTTTGCAGAGCTTTGTAACATATGATGTGGCTTAAAAGGTCATGTTTGCAAGTGGAGATTTTATGGTGGACTTCAGGGTTCTTTTCCTGTTAAGCCTCTCATGCAACTTTCCCTCTAAAATGAAATAGTTTGCATGAATCCAGTGTCTTTATGGTACACACTAGTTCATTTTGCATTGATTTGGTGAACTTGGACTTGTGATTACGATCCAAGTTCCTAAGTCTGTTGGTTTGAATGTGCTCTTTTCTCTTTGTAATTTGAATCAAAGCAAGGCTTGTGTTCTTGACATTAATCTTTGTGAATGTCTCTTGTAAATTGAGTTTGTGACTATGTTTGCACAGAGGGCTGCAGTATTGATTTACTTGCTTTCCTATATTATTATTATTATTATTATTATTATTATTATTATTATTATTATTATTATTATGGGCTTTTGTGTGGAAATGTGTTAAGTTAATGTGGGCATTTTCCTTGTATTGAAAAATGCCCATTGTAAACATCTCAATACAAGTTATGTTAGAGGTCCATTTTTGAAGGGTAATTCTCTGCATTCATACCATATATACTTGAGTATAAACCGACCTGAATATAAGCCGAGATACCTAATTTTACCACAAAAAACTGGAAAAACTTAATGACTTGAGTACAGCTACAGGGTCACTAGTCAGCAAAAGTAATAACATTGACCAGTTGCTGCCTTGGTTACTCCCCAGTTAACAAATAATGCAAATGTTATACTAATTTATTTCAATACTATTGAGTGGTCAACACTTAGGACCTTTATTTTTGGGTATTGATATTTCTGTATCACCCATTCTTCTTAGTGTAAGAATGAACATGGACTGGCATTTCAGTCTCTGGGCTGCCATTCCCTTCGTGTGATAGATCCCTCAACAACTTAGATAGGATGTTGCCCTTGTATCCCTGTTGTTCCTTAGTGGATATCATGTTGAGCCTTTGAATGTGTGAAGTACATCAAAGTTGGAAAGAGGGAGTCTAAAACCCATCACTAGTTTGAGTGACTGGTTTAGTTTTTGAAAGTCAGTATAAATATTGATGATGGAAAATAGTGGGGAAAGCAGCTTTTTCTTCAGAATGCGTACATGATCTGAACACAGAGAAGACTACATTTGATTTTCAAATTTTTGAAATGTGATATAACCCTTGAAGCTGATGGTAGAAACTTTCAATTGGGCAAATATGTTGTGTTAGTGGCTGCCTCATTGGTTCCCCTTACTTTGAAAGGATCAGGTCAGAGTATTTGGTTTAAAATTCCTAGTGAGGTTTTTTAGAAGTACTTTTTTATCATGTCAGAAGCTACTTGAGAAACTGCAAGTCGCTTCTGGTGTGAGAGAATTGGCTGTCTGCAAGGACATTGCCCAGAGGATGCCCAAATGTTTTACCATCTTGTGGGAGGCTTCTTTCATGTCCTCGCATGGAAAGCTGGAGCTGACAGACAGGGACTCACCCTGTCTCATGGATTCGAATCGTTGACCTTCAGGTTAGCAGTTCAGCCGGCACAAGGGTTTAACCCATTGCGCCACCGCAGCTCCTTTTAGAAGTACTGTTTGGGGTATATTAACATAAATAATTAGTACTGAAGAGTTCAATGCTTAATGAAAGAGGTGAAAATTCTTGAATAAGTTTCAGATGTGGGGTCGATGTAGTATAGTCAGTAAGAACATGAGTTCTGAAGCAGAAAGTTCACACTTCAGTATTTTGTATGTGTGCACCTCTTGCTATTTCTCTGGTAATAGCTTCCTCTTAAATATTGTTCAGAGTTATTTATGTGACTGCTTTGAGTACTAGAATTTTGTATAGATGCTGCACTTCTACAGAGCAGTGGTACCTTACTCTTGCAGCTCAGTTAGCCTTAGCAATATGCAGTACTTATAATGACTGTATACTGGTATATGCTTTGTTTCATTTTCATTAATATACAATCAAAGCACTTCCAACAGATGGGCATCCAGATAGATAGATAGATGGATGGATGGATGGATGGAATAGATTATACCTCTTCATTGCTACATTTATCCCACCAAGTTTCAGTGTTGACTGCAAATCTAATATTTGATGCCCATTAATTCACATTTGCCTTCCTTTGTTAAGAGTTCAAGTTTGTCTTGTTTTGTTACCTTGGCATCTAAAACTTCCACATTGTTTTTTCTGTTTGCCTTTGGACACAATCCTCACAAAAGAATCACAGAGTTGGAAGAGAGTGCTTGGGCCATCTAGTCCAACCCCCAGCCAAGCAGGAAAGGCACAATCAAAGTACCTCTGACAAATGGCCATCCTGCCTCTGTTTAAAAATCCCCAAAGAAGAAGCTTCCACCATACTCTGAGGCAGTGAGTTCCACTGTTGAACTGGTCTTATGGTCATGAAGTTCTTCCTGATGTTCAGGTGGAATCTCCTTTCCTGTAATTTGAACCCATTGCTCCGAGTCCTAATCGCCAGGGCAGCAGAAAACAAGCCTGCTCACTCATCCTTATGACATTCTTTAAAATATTTATACATGGCTGCCATTTCTCATCTCAACCATCTCTTCTGCAGGCTAAACATACCGAACTCTTTAAGTTGCTTCTCAATAGTACAAAAGCACTATTGGCCCCCTTTATCAGCTAGACTATTGTCCCTGGTACTTTCTGTTCAGCTTCTTTCTGGAATGCTGCTTTATTCCTCCCATTCAATTCAGTTTAAAGCTCTCCTGATTGGATTTACAAGACTTACAGTACAGTTCTCCAACTACAACCCATCTCTTGACAGAAATCCTTCGTTAAATTACCAAGAAGCCAACACTTTGTTGATAGTGCCACCTGTGAAGCCAGTTGTTCACTGTTCCCTTTTCCAGGGGCATATCTTTCAACTGGAAGGAATGATGAAACAACTTTAGGTCTAGTTTCCTTAGAGTAGGCATGTCCAAAATCACGACCTGGTACCAATTGCAGCCCCTGTTCAAATTTCCATTGGCACTCTCTCATCAGGCCTCCATCCCTTGCTTATTTCCTTTCCTCCTCCCTTCCTTGACTTCCTTCCTTCCTCCCTATAGGAAGGAAGGAACTATAACCACCATCACCACCACCCTCTGCCACAATCAAAGCCCTCTTGACAGATGGCTATGACACCTCTGCTAAAAAAAGCCTTCAGAGAAGGAGACTGCATCAGACTCTGAGGCAGCATATGCCACTTCTGAAACAACTTGAACGCACACAACAACAACAATCCTAATTAACTTGACTCTCTCATCAGCCAAAAGCAGGCCCACAGTTGTCATTGAAAGTCTGGTACGTTTATGTTGGTTAAAATTCTTCATTTTACATATTACTAGCTTGGAGACCAAGCGATGCCTGGGTTACTTGAGAAAGGCATTGTTTTGGGAAGTTTGGTACATATCTTTGGATGCAGGGTGAACTACAACTTCTGTGCGGGCAGGTCATTCCCCCTCAAACCCCTCCAGTATGTTATGTTGGCCCAGGTTATTTGAAAAAGCCACTGTTTGTTTTGGGGTGTTAGGTAATATCAGTTTGGTAATTTGTAGCTCTGTTTCTTAGAAAAAGGCCAGTCTTTCCTGGTGTTTTTTATGAATTAGAAAATGCATAAAGATGTGAGTGAACTGCATTTCCCAACATTG